GAATTAGACGAATCGCAGTCTCCTTCAGACTGGTGGATGAGAAAGTGTGCAGCATTGTGCTCTAAGGTGAGCCCTTGTTCATATTTCCGTAATTGTGTGCACTGTGATTTACTGACCTATTCATCCACGTAAAATTTGATTGTTATCTTGTCGAGATAATTAATTCTGTATGCATTTGGTTTCTACCTGCAACTGATAAAATATGTGCGTGATGAGTTTTTTGTGTAGTGGTTAGTATTCAATATAGGATTTGAACATATGTGTGTAATATTTTTTGTGCCAAAAAAGTTGAACAGAATAAGAAAAGTGTTATTTATAATTTTAGACAATTAAAACTGTAACTTGTTTTTCTATACTTGTCATTTGCAGAAAAGCTGATTCATGATAATATGAACACCCCATATAAGAATATCCCATATATTGTTGAAAAGTATTTTTGAAATGTGCTGCCATTTATATTCTAATGTTTGTAATGTGATTTAAGGGGTAAAGAATGATTAATCATAAAAAGGATTGCACACTTAAATGAGACAACCAATGTTTTGAGAAAGAGTTACTTTGTAAAAGTTAAATATTCTCGATAATTAAATTAGACACCACCATATTTTGTTGGTGACGAATCTAATGCAATATTTAACAATATTTAGTAAAAAACAAATTAAGTTGTTTGTTTGGTTGTGTTATTTTGTTTGATATGTATTACGTAATTACTTCATATCTCGATACTTGACGATGTATTGAATTAACGTATATAATTTGCACAGCAGTAGTTTCTACATGACGGTAAAGAAATGTATGTAGTGCTTCAATATCAGGCGCATAAATAAAATATGCATTAAAGATATTAAATCCTCAGTGTATTACTACCATTTTTAATTATCTCGACATGGCGGCAAAGTGTGCGCATGCGCTTACACGTAAAACATCGCCGACGAAATTATACGAAGAAAGTACTATGTATTGCTTTCACTCGTTTTTAGCTGTAACGTAATTATTTGCCTACTTCCTTAATCATTGTTCCATATCTGATTACTTGCAAAATAGTTATAGTACTTAAATTGCATTACAAACACGATGCATCGTACAATACGAGCAATGTTTAATTTTTCGTAAAAAAAAAAAAAGAAAAGGAAACTGTTTATTTTGAAACAACAATTAATTAAGAAAACAAAGCAACCATTCATCATTATTACATATGCTATTATCGTAATACTTATATAATAAATTGGTACTTACTTGGTATACCGTGGGCGATACAAGCTTTCGTAAACTTTGTCGTAACACGAAGTAACACGTCTTCACTAACAATTAATTTCACACTTTACTTTAAAATAATTATCGTTAACAATAATACGGATATTCTATTTCACTTTTGTTAGTTCCTTTTCACCACTTTTATTAACGAAACTTGAGACACATACCGCACACGAAATATTCCGACCGTTGCGATACGTTGGCGTCGCCAAATTATCGCAACAGACATATCGATCGAACAAGATGGTCGAAAACAATCGATTATCGCATACCAAGTGAAATTGGCTGTGTTAATGCGATTCCAATTTATACGTAGTTTGTGAGATTTATAATAAAAAATAAATTAAATAATGATACACCAACATTTAATAAAGAATAGAATTCTATTCGTTAAGAGCTCGACGCGAAATCTGCTTAATTACCGCCACGAAATTGCGGAACACAAACTAATTCGTAGAAAGCAACGCTTTCGACGGGAACAGTGATTTTCGATGTTGCACTCGTTTGAAATAAATTACTGTCCAACGAAACAGTGTATTCTCTTTTCATTTCACGCTCGTAAGAAATTATTTTCTACCTTTCGCTGAAGTAAAAGTACAGGATTGCGTCGTGCCTATGACATAACCTCGTTTTTAAGTAAAAATTGTGATCTAATATAAATACATTGTACATAAAGTGATCATACATGTTGGATATAAAATTGTGCGACTTAGAAAGAGAACACTAGGAATGAACAAAAAAGAAAATCACGTAGAGTGTACGAAAAAAAGTGGAATGCGTGAATTAAGCATGAAACGAGTTTATTCAAGTGAACGTCTGCTAATGAAGATCAGTGCACAACCTTTGCAAGTAAGTACTGCTTAATATGTTTACTGCCACTCGAAATTCAAAAAGGGGAATGCTATGTGCCATCGATTCGTAGTCTCAATCAGGAACGCACGCACACATGCCGCCTCCGTGTTCAACAGAGAATTCGTGGTAGTAGTGTCAATTGCACAGCGACTGCACAAGAAACCGCATACGCTGCGTCCGTGGCAGCAAACATCTTAAATATAATTCTTATTATTTTTCACGTACCTTAAATACCGAAAATTCGTAAGTAAAATAGGGTTCGATAAAAATGTTACTGCAGTAATTTCCTGGTTTAACCTCTCGTAAAATTACCAACTTTTGAATTAGTGAAGTATTAAGAATAATATTAAAGTAGATAAAACAAAATCTATTGGAGAATTAAATTTTGGAATTATAAACAGTTATATATTCATTTTGTATATCAATTACTACTTAATTGTATATTGTTGTACGTATTCTAAGATAGCGCGGGAAATTTAAACATGCAAAAATCAATATGAAAAATCAAAATAATATTAAAGTAGATAAAATGAAATCTAACGAAGAATTAAATTTTGGAATTACAAAAAATTATATATTCATTTTGTATATCAATTGCTACTTAATTGTATATTGTTATACATATTCTAATATAACGCGGGAAATTTAAACATGCAAAAATCCCACTACGTAGTAAAAGCGTCTTATCGTTAGAATCTATTAATTCCACCAAGAGGATTAATTCTGTAAATTATCAGCCCTAAAATTGGACACTTTTTAAGAATTTGTTTCTAGTGAAGTATTAAATAAACTCTCTATAGGTATTATTAAATCGTACGTGTACTATAGAAAAAACTTAGAAAAATAAAATTTTAGCATTACATACATATGTATATTCTACAGATACCGTACACCATCACCTTAAACCGGTAATTTTTATTCAAAGTATGCCTTTTAGTTATTCATAACGATGTGAGAAACAACATTATATTTATGCACTATTAATGACTTTGGCATTAATGTGATTTATAATAGCTGCATAACACGTGATTAGAACTTTATCAGATCACGAATATTATAATACAATTTGCAAGAGCAAAATAAGAAAGTCCTCGGTGTAACTATTTTTATCTCTCATCGTTCCTTTTTTTACGAGACTATTAACGCCGGCCTTCACTCCAGGATACACTTGAGAAAAATTATTGTAACCACGCACGCTCTTCAATATGCATACATTTCATTTAATTTCCATCTAATTATTTTTCATCTCTTTCATTTTCTTCGTCTTTTCATTTTTCTCTCTTTTCGCCATTTACAACATCGACCACGCATCTCGCACCTTATCTTATCTTGCGCGTTTTCATGCGTGGTACACCTCGTTCGCGTGTAAAAGCTATTTAGCAATAAGGAACACGATCGTCTGACTGTGCAGCACGAATACGAAGTTTAAGGGCGACCTGGTAACTAATTACCGAATTAAGAAAGTCGTTAGCTAGAATGCGAGCCGAGCTCATCTACTCCTTCATCAGTATACGATTTTTCCAGCAGCATAATGCAAAAAACGCACCTCCATGCTTGCTCGGCAAACGATTTGATGTATGCCGTGCTTTTGTACACTTAATGTCCCGTGCAAACCACCTTGCAAATCGCCACTGTCCACAAGACTTCGTCGTTCGTAAGAAACAAAACGTGAAAATTTTCTTCGTCCTTTTATTACGTCGCCCGATATGTTCGCGTTGAATTTTATAATTTAGATCGCTGTTTCCATCGAACCTTTAACACGTTAAGCGTCAAACCTGTTTTGTCTTCCTTTCCGTTTAACCCGCAATATCCGATTTCACCGATATGCTGCCGGCCGGAGATCTGTATAAGGTTACGCTAAGACTGCACTCGTTAAAATTTTTTGTTTGGTAACAAGAAATATTTAGGTACATTCTTTTATGATCTCCAAATTATTGAAAATTTATCAATAGAAGAATACAATTTTTTAAATTGTATATCAGTCAACAGAAAACATTCTTATATGAAATTATATATTTTCATATAAATGAAAATAATTATTCAAAAAATGGAAAAAAGAAGGTTGAAAGTGATAAGATTTGTATCAGTAAATGTATCATTTCACCGTTTGCTAACAGTAAAGATGATTAAATTCGACGAAAAACAGTGAACTACTTGTACGAACATCTAACAATTACACTAAACTACACACTACTAAAACCAGATAATTAGAACACGTGGAACAAAAACAAGAACCAAATATCGAAGCTAAATACCGTAATTCGTAATGAATAAATCAAATTTCTACAGTATAAACAGTTTCTAGAAAGCAAACGAATTCGCTCGAGTGTTCGATCCAATTATTTTAAACGGTATATTTACTACTTAATCTTTTCTACATACATATTATGTATCAGTAACTCACGTCCAGCTCTACATGCCTCGATTTCGGTCAATTTATTCACAATGAAAACAGTGTTTCGCTGCGTTTTTCCTTTCGAGTGAGTACACGTTAAACAATTGGCTAATTAACGAGAAAGAAACCGTACACGTTCGCCGAAGTGGAGCGCCTAAGATTTAACGCGTCCAATTCGAACATTTTTCTTGAATATGTATCACCGATTCCAGCAAAATGCTCTATTGTTACGTAATTAAAATACATTCACCCCTCGATTTGCACGAAGAACAGATTTTTCAAATGAAATCTCTCGGCGCAAAACGAACGTAATATACAAAGGAAAAATGTTCGGTCGTGCATTTATCGCGCGTATATTTTGTTAAAATTAACACGAAAGATACGTATACGTAGAGATTATTCGACGGCATAAATCACGCATAAGCGGTTTATAGATACGGTAGTGATTTTAACAACGTTTATTAATCAAATATAATCGCTGGTTAATTTACAATGTTACTCGTGCAATGGATCTGTCGCACTAATTAAGAGAACTTTTATTTTTCGGTACGTCGATTCTCGCTGT